AAGACGATTCGATTTCGTGACGCACTTGCAGTTAAGTGGCCACAGCTTTATCTGATTTTATCATAATTTTAACTGATACCGAAGCTTATGATAAGGAAGTCCTCCTGTTTTGACTTTCCTTGCATTCCTCTATTTCCACTTTACCCAAAAATTTGCAAATTTTGTGCGTCTTTAATAAATGTAGGCACGTAGAGGTTTTGTTTGCCCAGCCAGATTCCTTACTGTAGCTTTTTGGATTTGTAATAGTGAATAGGCTAGGTATTCGCCATTTTTAGTCTCACTTGAATTCTTGCGGTAATCTGTTATCGCTCTTATGATGGTGCGGACAGCTACTAGTATTCATTCCGTTAAAACTATTTCCTTCTTTCGGCCTGTAATTTAATCAAGGTGGATTTTAAAATTTTTGAATCAAGGGACTTGAGGTTTTGGCATTAAGTTTATTTATTATGTTAGTTTATGCAAATAAACTTATATGCTAATTTGCTGACCACTCAGGGACGTCGGAAAGTAAATCGGCTTCATGACCAATGAAAAATTGCTTTGGTGGCTTACAGTTTTATTTTGAGATTGTATTGTTATCTCTCTTAGACAACGTTGATGAAGTCATTACCCTTGTCTTTCAATACCTCAACATGGTGAAATACGTAGGGTTTCAGCAATGGATTTTTGAGGAGGAGAAGGTAAGTTTTCCGCTTTGTACTAAACCGCTTGTGCTCTGCTTCGGCACCGGTCATATAATAGCTTCTGACGGAGGGTACAGATTTAAGTCAGTTTTCTTTTGAGAAGAAGATCAATGTTACTACGCACCACCTACGTCGCACTAACACCAGACTAGTTTCCGTGGGGCAAAAATATACATTCAGGGTAGACTTATGCAGTGTTTACGAAACTGCGTGGTCCGACGTTGTATATTGGTAAGTACCTTACTGTGGGCCGGCAGAGTTTATTGCTACGACCTAAATACTGTAAATGTAAACCCTCAAATACTGCTCCTTTCCTTGTCAGACGGCTATCTATCTCACGTGAGAATCAGTATAACTTTCCTTGTCTATCATGCTCCTTAGAAATGTGATTCACTTCTTTAACCAAGTTTTCTGTCAATTTTTGTTGTATAAGGCTCCCTAATTCATATTCACGTAATGGATGTAGTATACAATAGGTATCGTGGGAGAGGCACTAAAAACGCACTTTTGGACATTTGACGTAATGCATCGTAATGTAAACAAAGTATGAAGGCTTGCCTTGTTCTATTGACGCTGAGTTTGCACAACTTGACAGCATTAGTATGAGTCAACTTTTTTTTTACCCAAACACCTTGTTTTTAGAATATACAGGCCTTGCGTTTTCGTTTCAAAGGCAAAGAAGATCCCTTCGAGTATGTTCATAGGCTATCACCTCGAATGTTTGTAAGTTTACCTGATGTACAGTTCTTTTATTTTTCTTGCTTGTTAGCTAAGCTAATCGCCTTGTGATATGACTTTAGTTATATCCGCCGGAAGATCTACTGACTGTACCCTATATACTTACGGAATTTCGACCAGATCTGATTGAAGAAGTCCTCTCTGCTCTCATTCCAGACAATTTTAGGTAAATGTTTCTCCTGCTTTATGGTGTTCCCTTTTCCTATTTGGGTAGATGACCTAGGCTGCAACTCCAGCCACCACAACCCAAAATTGATATTTTTTTTTAAAAAAAAGTATCCGAAAACATTAATTGACCTCAGACTTAGAACACCCTGCATTCATCTGGTTGCTTTAAAAGTCAACCAATCTCTTTAATCAAACTAGCAATGCATCATAAACCCACGTATATCCAATGGTGGCTAATGTGGCGGGTCGTCCAGGAAACTAGAAACGCGTAATATTGTATTGCTGGTTGTTGCTGTATTGTTGGTTGGTCTATTCAAAATCGTACCACTTTTTGTAAATGTTGCTCCCACCAACAGGTGCATCATTGTGAGCCAAAAAGTTGCGGATCGTTGCAATGAGACAGAAAAGTTTTACAAAGCTAGCTATGGTTGCGAACCAGTGCCTCCAGAGAAGATTGAGGTATGACTTGCCTACTACGTACTGATGTGACTCACCAACATTTTCCTCTATTTCTTCTAGCTTTGATAATATGCAGAAGAATAGTCAATTTATACTGATATATTTGCTGTTTAGGCGAGTGCATTTTGATAGCTTCTCCTTAAGACTAACTTCTTCCTGTAAGTACTTTTTCAATCGAAATACCTTGAATAACAATTCACCTTCTTAAATGCATTACGTGTATCTTGCACACGCCACGTTGGCTACTCGAGTTAAGGAAGAATATCAGCTACCCCAACCCAAATGTTCCAATATTCTCATATGATATTCGGTTTCTTTAATCCCTTTCTGTAATTATACGCGTCACATATGTGTGACATAGTGTCTGAAGTAAGGAAATCGAATCGTCTCATTTACGCGACGCTGGTAGCAAACACATTAACCTCTTTTATTCACTGTTCAAACCGACAATGATACCAATTGAAGGTGCCGCTAACGAAGTTCCATGCCACCACGTCACAAATGGGTGACGTGTGCATTGCCGGCTTATGACTGATAAGTGGTGTCACGTTGCACCAATGAGACCTCTGAGCTGTGATGGTCGACTTGTCTGTGTAACCCTAGTAGCGAATAGTGCATCAGCCGTGATGCAAACAGGAAAAGTAGAAGCATGAATCAAAAGCCTGTTGACTACACCGCCGAAGTCTTGGCTTGAAACCGCACACAACTGGCAGATAAGTGGGACAGTTTGCAGAAGTACTCACTCTCCACCCCAACCAACGGTAGGGTAATTGAGTAGGGGTCCCTCCAAGATTGCAAGTTAATGTTTGTGTTGCTTCATTCCAGCTGCTCTATTTGCACTGTTTGTGTTTGGACATTCACCTCTCATTACTACTTTTAGCATTGTTACTATTACTATCACCACCATCACATGTTGTTAGGGTGAAAGGGCTTTTCCTTCATTAAGTCAGCCATTAGGACATCAACAGTTGACGCTGTCCTGGAATTGTGGAACCAACACACCCAAGTTAACATCTCGATACATCAACAAACAGAGTGCCAGGCGCCGAGAGTGTTGCTGCTAATGTCCACAAATTGCTACCTTAATTTGGAAGGTGAATGTAGCCTGGAGGAGGGATGGGTCAATGTTAGTATTTGACCACAGTGGTCGATGATTGTGGGAAGAGGAGTCATTCCTGGAGCAGATGAGCAATGTCGGGCAAGGTGACGAAACACAGTATGGAGTTGTGGTGTTTGATTGAACACCTTGTGTGTGACGAGTTCGCTACGCGAATCTGTCGGGGAGGCAAATCGGTCAGCATAGCCCAGATGTGTTCAATCGGTCACGTATGCCATGAATCGCGTCCACTTTGTTTTCCTTTTTCAATCTATACCATTCCTTAGAGTTTAATGCGGTTCCTATGCGTATTTTGCGGACTCCTTAAAACAAATCGAGTGAAACAATGTTATCCAAAGTGGTAGGCAATTAATCTGTAAAAATAAGAATGAAACGACTGTGGAACACAGTTTTGCTTTCCTTAAAAGCATGACTCTTCCAGTGTTTACTTTCCATTTCTTTGATCTTGTTAGGCCTGGCGTAATTGTGGTCTTTGCCCAGAACTGCATTTGCCACCACGCAACCCCTACATACCAACCGAATTCGGCCTAAAATGCGAATCCTGCCCTGACCTGGAGGACATGTCCTCGGGGCCACGAATCCTCTTGGAGAATGATGGCGCACGGCTGTGGTTCAAGCAGGATAAGGAATTCAAGTTGCCCAAATGTTACATCAACTTCAACCTTATCAGGTAACTCGTCTGCGTGCCTGTCCATTTCTCCCCTTCCTATGTCATGGTGGCTGACTGCATTGGCCCATATGTTTATTCAAGATTCTTATGCTGAATAAGCTTGTATGTAATGCGTAAGTACAAAAGGAGGTGTTTAATCAAGGTGAAGCAATTTTGTATTCATATACCTAATAACCGGTTTCTATTGGTAGGTAGGTTAACGGTGCTTTATGCGGCTGACACCCAGCCATTCAAACATGCTTAAAGAGCATGTTGATTTGACTAAAATTACGATAATTTATTATCCTTCAAAAAGCCTTCAATTTTTCCTTTCCAATATGTCTGCGTCGAAAATTAGCATCATAATTATCGAACAATGTTGTTTTTTGTGCAAAGAATAAATGACGAGCATTTTTGTGATAACGAATTTGAGTGTAAAGGTGGCTGGGATTTCCAAATAGCCGCAAAATTCACGTTTGATTAGAATCCGTCATTCCACATCATCGTACGTTCAGTCAATGTTAGCTGCTTAATTTGAGTTTTTTGGCTTGCTACAGCACCCATTTCTTTCGATTGACTAGATTATCACTTAAAAATGCTATTCAGAAAATGAGCGGGGCTTTTCTATCTTGGATGTGTGCAGTTTAAATAAATAAGAACGTATTGAAGAGTTCGATGTGTCTTTGAAATTTGGCACCGTGATACACACTGCAAAACCATTCATGCCTCAAGGGCAAATTAATTATGACAGTAACTTCAAAAGTTTCGGTGACTGTTATGCCGATTATCGTTTGCAGTATCAGGATGTGTGTACTACTTTAAAAGAACCGTGGTAATTTTAGTTCACCGAGCCCAATTTTTGAGTATTTAAGCCCGAGGCTGTGGCTTTTGACATTCCATATGTTTCTGTTTATCACCACTGCGTTTCTCAAGTCCGCTTTGGGCGCAAGATCAGGTCCGCGATCTACTGTTGCAGCTGTTCATTAACCTCTTCATCGACAGTGTAAACGAGGACTCCTATCAATGCAGCCTCGCGGGCCTCTGCTTCAACATCGTGGCCAGTGCACCCACGCTGCGAGTAAGTCCACTAACGAAGTTAACAACAGTAACTCCGTGATCTGCCTCTCTTTTGACGTGCCCAACACCATTTAATCACGTCATATTCCCAAAAGATGTGCTCAAGAGAGCTAACATTTCTCTCTTTTATGCCAATCAAGCTTTTTAGATTAATTAGCCCTGTATGGATATCACTCATTGACTCTCTGAAATCTGCTTTCTACCGTTCTCCACTGCATTTCAAGATATTTGAGTAAAATGCACCACCGAATACGAATTTGTTTTTGTTTTTAACCCATGAGATTGAAAGTCTTAGCATGCTACGTCGATGTGTCTGTGCCCTTCAACGATTTTTCTAGTATCAGGAAAGTCGCAGACTCCAGGTACTTTAAGACATCGTTATCCTGTTATTGTTTATGACTTTAACTACCCTGTGTGAATTTTGAAATTTTAGGGAATCATTTTTTCCCTTTTATTAACTTGTATAGGTTATTTCAGTTGAGTACTTGAATGTCACAGACAGTTTCATCATTTCTGAAAGCAGCTTCAGAGACCGAAGTGCCCTATTTATAGCCTTTTCTATAACATCAATGTTACCTTTGGTATTTCGTACCATATGAGTCATGCATCTGGGTGCTATCAACGCCCACGAGTATGGAGGCGGATCCATTGTTAGCGTGCTAAAAGGCTGGAGCACTGGTAGCGTGGGATAATCAGAGGAGACATTGTCTTGGATGGGACTGAAAATGACCCACGTGGTTCACACTCAACCATATTCTCGTTGAATGTCTACTCCGAACCCCAATCTGAACGGAAATTTGGGTGCGATTTACTCCCAAAAAGATAACCTTTTCATTGACTTCATACACCTTCCGACTACTTGATGGGGTGTACCTTAGATTCTAGTCACAAGGTACTCATGCATCCGACCTACTCATTCTGAGCGCTAAGCTTTTGTCCGCTATTGCAGCTAAATTTCAGTGGTTACAGTCATAAGATGCCGGTATTAGTGGAGAACGTTGTGAATCGCTTGGTGCAATTCACGAGGCCAGATGAGGAGCGCTATGCGGTTCTGCTGAAGAAAATGGAGTTAAAAGTGAAGAACTTCACGTCCTTTTCGCCTCTCGACCAGGCCGATGGCTACTGTGCCTCGGTTCTATTTGATCGTGCCTGTCTTCATGAGGAGAGGTGTGCAGCGCTCAACGGTACGTAGTGAGGCCCCTCCGTAGCTGGTTAATTTGATAGATATGGGTAGTTCTTCATATACCACTGACACGTTTACTGCTTTTGGAAGTTAGTCACACGTTCTTTAACCCTTTTAGACACGTTATTACAGGTAATTAATCACCCTAAGTAATTTTCACATCATTTTCCTACTCCGAAATACACTTAGATGTAATTAAAACGCATGCAGTGACGATGTGAAAAGGAGCCGTTTCATTGCACGTAAAATACCACATTTCATTTTGGTTTATGACTGGCGATTTACTTTCAAAGATTGCTATAAATTTTTTGCTGCAGAAATCACATACGAAGAACTGGTGGAGTTCATACCCTCATTCTTTCGTCGTGTCTTCGTCGAGACGATGGTGTACGGTAATGTGGACGTGGAAGTGAGTCATTGGGTGCAGGGATATTAGCGCCATTTTTTGCCAAACAGCAGACCTTCAATCCGTCTCTTCCCCCTTCCTATCAGGAGGCCTTGAAAATCCACGAAACCATGACTAGCGCCCTCCAGAAGCATGTCCACTGGCGGTCACCCGTGGCTATGGTCTCACCGCAGATGCGAGAAGTTGAAATTCCCACGGGTTAGTTAAAAGTGGCCTCGAAATTGCTACTCAGTTTCATCATTTCAGTTTAATTCTTCTTGGCTTGAAAGATTTGACGTTTTAGCATCCAAGTTCCTATAAGGCAAACGAGCCTGGAAGTAGATTTATTAGTCTAGGTAGATTGGGTGGTCAAATCCAAAGTACAAGCAAGAGTAATTCTGCTACAACTTCTTCATTTCGCCGTTAAGTTGTTTTGCGAGCACAGGATTTCCTCTATGCTGATAGTATTTTGAAGGTAATGCGACTTATTTCCTACTTACCTTCTAAATATTGATAAAGCTAAGAGGAGCTGTCTTGGGTTTTTTTTGGCATATATCCACAATTGTTGCCAGAACCACACATCTGACACTACTATTCCCTTGTCTGGTTGCGACGTCATAAATGTGTGACATGTTTTCTTCGTCGCCTAATGTGTGAGAACTGGTTGCACTAGATCGTCCCCCAACTAGACTGTTTTAAATGAGTGGAAAGTTGATGGCCTGAGGTCAGTCAGAGTTTTCTTAGTTCGCTAGTACAGGAGTTCTATCATTCAAGAACATTAAAACGTATGGACTGTAGTGGTCGATGTTACCCTCTGATCCTGGTTGCGAGCTCGTTAACTTGCACACTTTCCCTGCAAAAAGGAATGTACCTGCTTAACTTTCAAAACCCTTTATCTTCACACCGGAAATAATCACGAATGGAATGCGCATACTTCGATTAAGTGTTGAGCCAAGTGGAGTGATAGATTTTGACAGAAGACTGCTTTTTGTACACGTTAAATCGTGGAAACTTTAGGCTTTCTCTTGCCTGACAATGGCAAATAAACATTTGAAATATTCGTCTTCCATCCACCTATTTGCCTAGCCTACCTTGGTAAAAACACTACAAAGTGGACGTACATGTGCTAAATATTAGCCCTTGGCGTGTGCTGAGATGCCCACGATGACCTTATATGATAGGTAGAGTGGTAACATCTTCTAAGGTCATTTAGCCTTGACTGATGTGTTTCTCTCCCTCTCTCCTCGTCCTAACGCCTTAAAGGTCTTACTTAGCCTTACATCTCTAAAACACTCATCTACCGTTGTAGATGCAGTGATTGTTGAATCTACGGCGAAGACTAAATCTCTCTAAACACTCCTCTTGCTGTCTTGAACTTGACAAGTCATACTACTGTGGCTGGATAAGGAGGAAAAACCGGTTGACATTTTTTTTTCGTGTTTTGTATGTTAGTAAAGTGGAAGGAAGCGGTTTGATGCGAGCCAAGGATTACTAGCCCGCTCGATGTTTTTTCACTCTGCCAATTTAACAGCAAAATCAGATTGGTGTGAGTGGAACCTGTTTTCGAAGTAGTACATTCGTTTCCGATTTCAGTTGCAAGCAACTACTCCCAAGTTCGATTTAGCCATGTAATTACACTTTCAACGATGAGGTCTTGTAAACACGCACTAGTTATCGAGCAAAAAACATGCTTAGGTGAGATGGAGTTGTCTTTTTCTCAGCAAACTTGCTTACCCCACTTGTTATCCTAGATAGACTCATTTGAACTCACTAATTGTTTACGTGTTTTGTTATTTTGGCTTTTTTTGGGACTATTCGCGAGGGGTTTTGCAAAATAAGATGTCATATATTTGTTTTGCTACTGCTGAATTGTAAGTTCCATTGCTTCGGCGTATTCCTTCCACTTTCTGCTTGAGGCACTCTCACGTGGTTTCAGCCCATTCCCCTTGCTTCAATCATCGATTTGTTGTCACACTCTTTTTGAGGTGACATTACCTCATTTCTTGAAGATGAATCAAGGAAACCAATTGGAAGGGCATTTTATAACTTAGAAATCGTAGGAAACTAATGCAGGGGCAATAAATCTCGTTTAATCAACACGTTTGCGTCCAAGGTCTGTCTCCGAGGTTATTCGACCTTCATGGCCCGGACACCTAGGCTAGTAATGTGACCAGCTCAACCGTTGCTCAAAAAAGCAAAATTCTCTTTTACCGAGAGCATAATCCTGCACCGTCTTTATCGTTTTAAACTTAGCTAACCTGTTTGTTCACTTAAGGGAGCCTTGATGTCACATATATGTGACGCTGGTAGGGAGCGTCACCGTAAATTTAGCATCGTGATTTTGATGGGGCTGTTTTGTACTCCTCCCACATCTAGGTCCCTCACACATATACAAGCGAATTAATCGAAGTAACGCGATTTCGGCTATTCTGGTCTACTACCAGAACCTTCCTATTACTTCGGAAAATTGTGCGATCCATCGCCTCTTCGATCAGCTTATTCGTGAACCTGCATTCAATAACCTTCGTACTGAGAAACAGCTAGGTAAGGTAACGATGAGATGTTTGTCCTTCAGTAGGTTTATTGTTGAATGCGACATTTGCGTCCCTATTTAGTATCCAAAATACTAGCACCGGTTGATGTAAACAGTAAATAAGCGAGTCCAAAAGAACTTGGTCTATCGAGACTCCCATTGATGAAAAAGACTTGTTTGCATTTACAGGTTACATAGTTCGAGCGGGCTGGCACATATCTAACTCCTTCCAGGGCATCCACCTAGTCATCCAATCGAAGTATCATCCCAGAGAATTGGATGAACACATCGAGAAGTTCGTTGCAAGCATGGAGGCAAGTTTATCAACAGTGCTGTCCAAACCTGGGTTCATGGTCCAGTTTTACTCTTTAAAAAGGATGCGACAACCCAACTAATGTGTACTCATCTTCCTGTTCCAGACGATACTGATAAACATGTCAGCGAGCGAGTTTAACGCGCACATTGAATCCGTGGTTGCATTGTTGCTCGAAAAGCCCAAAAAAATGAGTCAGCAGGCAACAAGGTATTGGACCCAGATCTTTAGACAGCGTTATGACTTCGATCGGTGTAAGTTTTTCCACCTCCCATCGTTCACACAGGTGGTGTAGATGATTCCCCTAAAAAATTGAGCGATTCCTTTGTGTAGTTGAACGAGAAGCGGAAATAATCAGGAACACTAGTAAGGATCATGTGCTCGCCTTTTATAATGTGAGTTCCAAGCTAAAATTCCTTGTGCCGGAAAGTGGTTCGTAGTAAATTTGCACCTGCGCTCTGTTGGCTTTGTAGACCTACATCAAGGCAGCATCGGAGGCTCGAAGAAAATTGGCCATTTACGTTATCGCTGAAGACGCACCACCGACAAAGAAAGAAGACATGGTAAGACTTTATAAAAGCCTTGGACAAATGCAAATTAAAAATTCTTCGCTTAAAAGCTAACTGAGTAATGCTTAGTGCAATCGGGTTAAAAACTGCTCGAATCCAGCAGTGCATTCACATTCTCGACTCGTAAAACGCACAACGCCTTGAGCCCTGGGGGCCTCCTTCGAATTTGTACACAACTAAGAAATACCGGAGAGCAATCGTTTGCGTTTTATTTGAAGGCAAGAGCGTCCTCCAATGCAGGATGATTTTCACACACCACTTTTTTATTGTGTTTAAGGGTGTGGAAATTGCAAACCCGATAGAATTCAAGCGCACTCTACCGCTTCGTCCGTTGGCTGCGCCCTGTAATCTGACGGATCGCAGATCGCAAAAATCATCCCAGCCGTTGAAGGAAGGGCCTCACTGAATTCAATGTGCAATTACCAGTTACTGTGATTTTTCCATCAATTCGGCTATCGTTTGCATGGATTGATTTTTGAATCGGTCCTTATTCTTATTTTAAGGAATTGTTGCATTGACTCCGCTGACCGAGTGCATGCGTTGAGCTGTGCATGTTGAAAGGCGCGGTCTAGTCACGTCCCGTAAATCTGCTGAAATAGAAATGATTTTTGTCGGCTCCGAACCTCCTCCTGTTATGTGCAGTGCTTCATTGGTGTATGAAGAGGTGGGATTACGTGTATGTCAAAAGTAGGACCGGCAAAGCGGTGTAATACGTTCCACCATTTAAACAGGTGGGTAATTGTTAAGCAACAAATGAATGAGAAGGCTTGTCAAGGTGTACTTCGGGGCCAGTACAGTGGACAGATCCATCTGCTGTAGCGTTCCAAGTCTTTAATGGATTCCTCACAAGCTAGCCCAAGATGGGAACAGATCGGTTGGGATGCCGATGGGATTGCACTCTGAATGCGCCGCCAAGCTGGAGAGCGGCGCAGAAAAGTAAGGGGTGTGTGTAGCTGAACAAACTATCAAGTTACTACATCAGCAAATTTGTTGATGAGCGGGTACTTACGAAACGCGTTTAAATATTGATGGAGGTGTTGCAAACTGGTATTTGTTTAAGTAAACATCCAATTGCGTAAATCTTCGAGTTCCAACAGGTTCCACTCCCGATTGGATACTAATAACAAACTTTCCGCATATAGTAATGTAGCACGATGGCTGTTTAACCCTCGGTTTTGGTGAAGAGCCACTTTTGACGTGGCCATTGTACAATGCCAGGGAGGCTGACCTTCGGACCATGCCACTAGCCCAAATACCTTATATGTCGAATATATGTATACTGGCCGAGTATTGTCTTTTTTCGATTTCAAGTGAATCTCGGAGTGCTACAGTAGAATGCCTTACCATGGCTCCTGGGAGAAATTAGGCGCCCAATTTCCCATGAGGTCCCCTATATAGCAATTCGCGACCATTAATTTAGGTGTAAAATATTGAATTTAACCATTTGAGCAGCTTTGTTGCACTGGTTTTTAAAGAAAGTGAAGAAGTGGGTGCATGTGAATTAAAACATTTTGCCGCGGTGGTTTTGGTAAACCATTGACGAGTACATTTTGCTACAGGTTGAATTTTTTAATAATAGCAAGTAAATAAATTCTTGTCGTGAAATTTAGATTAAGGTTACTCTACTGCAATTGATAGAACATCTTTGTTCAAGTGGCCTTACAGTTTTGCCAAATCTTGATTTCGTGTGTGAGGAATGGGCAAGAAGCAACATCAGTCAGATAAGCTGTAACACCGTTTGCTTGGCATTATTTTCAGTTATATCACAAACACTGAGTGGAGCACACTCTACGGTGGAAAGAAAGCTGCAGGTGGTGGGAGTGTTCGATTTCGTCGCCTTCCATTCAGTTGTTGCAGGTAGCAAATATGTTGAATCCTAAGTAAATCACATCTTTCAGCATTTCATTTCAACCGTTTACAGTCCCGTACTGCACCAAAGATGGTGTTGTGTTTGATTTGGAGTAGGAATGCCTTTTTATCCCCTTATTTCTAGAAATATACTACCTTTTATCAAAAAGCATGGAGTTAACCCTGTAACAGGGAAGGTATCGTGGGTTCTACGGTCATTTTTTTTAGAAAATGAAAACAAGTGAACTCATCAAATTGAATTTTAGTAAAAACGCTGATGGGAAATATCACTGTCCAATTACTTTTAAGGTTTTTAATCAGAATACTCATATTGTTGCCATCAGAACCACGGGAAATGTTTATGCATATGAAGTAGAAATTTCGATTTCTTTACACCTATAGGCTGTCGAGCGCCTTAATATAAAGACGAACAGCTATCAGGATCTTCTCACCTCAGAGCCGTTCGCAAGACAGGATATCATAACCATACAGGACCCGAGCAGTTTAGACAAATTTAACATATCCGCATTTTATCACGTGAAAAATAGTCTTTTAGACAAAGGTTTATAATTCTGATTTTTCGCAACTATTTCTTAGGTGGTAGTAGCGTCTCCAATATTCGCGCTCTTAATCCAGAGACGAAAGAAATTCTCGCAGAGTTGAAAAAGTCTGAAGTTGATGTACCGGACTATATGTACTCGAGTAAGCCCAAAGAACTGCAGACCGAAAAAGTTCGCGATGTTTACAATACAGCGCACTATTCCACTGGAAAAGCTGCTGCCTCTTTGACGTCTACTGTGATGGAACCCTCCGTAGTCGTCGAGCCAGGTGTGCAAGTCACTTCACATTTACCTTCTCAGCCATCTTGGAGGACGACGTCGTTCGATACGGATACGTCAAATCGAAGGGGTTTGTGCGTCTCATCACCTCGTATGGAAATTTGAATATCGAACTCCATTGCGATCTGGTTCCGAAGACCTGCGAAAACTTCATCAAGTTGTGCGAATCCGGCATCTATAATGAAACAACTTTTCATCGTGTGATCAGGCACTTTATCGTAAGTGGATTTACATTTTGAATTGTTAGATCCAAGGTGGAGATCCCTCGGGGACTGGACTTGGTGGTGACTCCGCTTGGGGCGGCTCATTTCCTGACGAATTTCGCAACAGCTTAAAACATGACAGTCGCGGTGTTCTATCAATGGCCAACTCGGGTCCTAACACCAACAAATCCCAATTGTAAGATTGGACCTTCTTGTAACCAAGCCTTTTAGTTTCATCACCTTTAGGCCATGCCCTCAATTAAATAGGAAGCACACCGTCTTCGGGAAGTAGGTTTTCTTGCATTATACGAATTGCTCCATTATTAGAGTTGTCGGTGGTTTGGATACCCTAGACAAAGTTGAATTGGTTGAAACGGATAAGGACGATCGACCCCTTGTAAATACGCCCCAATTTTTGACCTCTATGATTTAGGAGGAAATCAAACTGCTTTCGACGCAAGTCTTCGTAAACCCCTTCAAAGAGGTGGATGAAATGCTTACTCGCGAGAGACAAGCACTAAAGGAAAAGGAGGCTGCTGCAGTGAACGATCAGGAGGCACCGAAACCGGGGAACAGACGCGAGGAAGAGGCCATGGAAGCCGCCAAACGAGCCAAGAAGAGAGGGATTTTTGGTAGCCACATTTTATCTTTTTCTTAATGGGACTTTCCCTCATGCTAGATGCCATGTCCCAACAAAGAACGGGTGTAGGGAAGTTTGTGGTACTGTCCTCTGATGATAGTAAATCGGATTCGAATCCGGAGCCTACCCGAAAGAAGCAGAAAAGTGTCTTACGATCCACGCTATCTGACTTCAGTGCATGGTGACCCTGTAAATACCTGTACTAATGTTTTTTTGTTTCTTACACATAAACCCTCTGCGATGCTTGAATGAGTGGCTGATGGGGCCAAATCAAAGCATTGTACATTGTCGATTAACGAACAAACAGTTGCGGTCAGAAAAGTACGAAATAATACAGTTCGCATACCCCCACAGGGCTTCTAGCCTGCGGAGTGTCCGGGATAGGGAGGCTCGGTGGGATTCACATTGTTGTTGGAGGGTGCACTGGCTGCGTTCGATGTGGACATTGGGAGGATGCTTGGTGAGAGGTTAAGCACGATGTGGGATATTAGTTGTTCAACGCTCTGTTCAAAACATCTAGAGGGCGGAATAGGTCACAGGAGGGAAGGGTAGGACCTACTTAAGATTACTGGGATGTAGGTGCTGCCTTATGTCCGCGAAGACCTCCTCAATACAACTTAGCTCACTGTTGCTCATCCGGTTCTCTTGCAGATGCTGTGAGTTGTTAATGAGCTGAGGGAAGTAAAGAGACTTACCGACAGCAGTGTTAGGATTGTCGTCAACTTTGCAACCAAAATGAACTTAGATTCGTCTACCGTGGAGGAACCCTACAAAGAAGATAACTCTCTTAAGTAGAACAATTAAATTATGTTCATTTATCTGGGAAAAGGAAGACTCGTTTAAATAAACCAAAGGGAAATCTCGGGCCTTATTACGTTTTAGTACAGCTATTAATGCAGCGAATGCAGTGCAGCGGAACAGTACAACCGGTAAAGCTAATTTTACGCATGACGTAGATGGTAAGCTGGGACGTTAGATAAGCATACCTGAGAGGACTTTAGTCTGTTTACGATTTCATACGCCTCATCCTCGCAACGTCTACGCCAATCCGTCACGAGAATGACATCTTGCATCCCATAGTCCCCAGCAATCTAGGGTAGGGATAAAACATACTCGTGCTTTTCTCATTAACAATTTCCTGGAGAACAATGAAACGCAACAGAAAAGAAGGGAGTCTTCTCAGTGCTAAGATTCAATACAAGTGAACAATTTAAGGTGGAGCTGAATCTGTTCGTCAGATGTGCACTGGCTTGATCTTTCGATGGAGTATAATAAAACTATCGCTCCATAACAGGCGAAAATCGAAAAGGTTCGTGACAATTCTGTCTATTTAGTGGAAACGAAACGGTAAAACACTTGAAAGAACAAACACGAGTGAAACTGGGTGAATGAGAAAAGGCCAACAAATTTGGTCTCAGAGTAAACTACATCGCATGATCCACCAGACATCGGCAGGGTGTCAATCACCATTTCTTGTGACTCGTAAACGGGAAGCACTGAGCACTGTTGAGTTGGCATAGAAACATGAAACTCGTGATCTTGATAGTGCGGAACATATCCATCTTCATTAATGGGTGGCGGAGTCTGAAAGTCATATAAATTCATAAAACCTATGACCCTATCATAATAAAAAGTGAACAGGGGAAAAGCAAATCACCTTAAAAGGGAGGCCTTACCTCTGTGATGTGATGAAGCACTATGCCAATGTGATATTTCAGCTCTTGATTCAATTCGTCGAGATGTAAAATGAGAGTGGCGTACTTGTGCTGAAATTCAGGAGTTACGGGAGAAGATTCAGCTGAGACCTGCAAAAGAAGATCCTTTAATTAAAACTAGTTTTTGAGGAATAAATGGAATAGTAGAAGTGGAATACCGTACCTGAGATTCAACTGTTTCATTCATTCCTTTTAAAACAGCAACTGCTTTTTGCTTCTTTTCCAAAATACGTTCCATTTTGACCTGTAATAACATCACACTGTGAAAATTAAGTGAAATCTTACAAGACTGAACAGAAAATCTGACATGGCATCACTCTGATCACAGAGTTCAGTGGTTTTTGTTTTGTACACGTTACCATAGTGCATAACAGAAGGTGGATTCGAAGCCTCAAGAATCACAGGATTTGTGATTTCAGAGTTGTCCATGCCATTCATATTGGAGGCGGTTTCATCGTGGAATATTCCTACACGAATAACTAAATAATTGGTCATTCACCTTGTTTTATGTCGGCCAAAGGAGAATTCTCACTACCATAGTTGGAAAATAAATCAGAACCACAATGACTGGTCTCCCTCTTCAGAGACATATTCAGATGTGGCAATTAAATGACAAGAATGGACGCGAATTTATAAGAAAATATATCTGGTTTGGAAACGATGTGTGGACTTCTATGGAATAACTCCAGTTTGCCAACGCTAAAAGATGTGGATACGATGACAACCCTTACGTGATTATTGATTAGAACCAAAAAAGGGCAAGGAAAAAATGTAGATGACGGTCTACGGTAATAGGTCCATTAACAAGGAGGAGGTGAGTTCCAGAGTGCTCGCATAAAGCACCCTATACTACCTTGATCAAAACATAGCTGGAAAAAACACCACCGTACCCAAAAGCATACAACTAGAGCACTTTCCTCCATTTACATATAGTGCGAACAACAAAATATAACAAGATGCACATGTTCTTAAAAGTCAAAAATCATGGGCAACCGACTTTACCAACTTGCTAAAAACCATTTATTCCACTATGACATTCCACTCCCAGTTGGAAAACAGAAAATTTACCATCATAACTTACCGGTGACATACCACCACAGATTACAACCTCATTGGCCTACTTTGGAAGTACCGCAATTTATTTACCTAGCTATTTCCACGTATATGAATCTCTGAGATAACTCTAGAAGCAACACCGTTTGCCGTACCTAGCAGACATTACAGTAACTTTTAAATTCTAAAATGTTATTTGCTAAACTGTGCGAACATTAGAGTCTCCAAAGTATGAAATCTACGTATTATGTACTCAAATAATTGTCAAATTGGATAAAAAAATCTGGTCTAATATGCTAAGCTTGTTGCAACAAATAACTCGATAGCCAATAATTTTGCCGTAACTATCCTCAAAAATGCTGACACGGATTTGTCTGCTTAGAGTAGACCGAAATCGCCTAAACTGTTGAGATGGGCACAAAAAAGACATATTTGCACCCTTGACATTTGCTGTTTTGGCATATTTACCCAAAATTTTTGGCTAATGGTGAATATAAGCGGATCAGCTAATGACAGGAAATTTTATATGTGACGTGAGTTTATAGCAAATTCTTAAAGGCGCAAAATATTAAAAAAATATTTTAAATTCATATTCAATTGTTTTGCATGTGGATGCATTTATTTCTGTTTCACATCTTTGTTTTATTTTTTCATCTGATTTTTAAAGGTGAAAATAGAGGCAGTTTTGGCGGATTTGTGATCACGGCTTACCGATGAGTTGTCCTCCTGAGTTTCGGCTGGAACTGGATCCGGAGTTTGAAAAACATCCCTTGCCTCGACCTCCTGAGTACCTAAAACACCAGGTGTACGACCGTGTTGATGTCTTTGAAAAAATAGACAATCATGCTATCCAGGTTTGCCAATGGTAATATTCCTCATAGTTCCCATAGATATCAAAGCAAGATTTCGCCTCGTTTACCCACCTGATGTGGAATCTTGTGTTTCGCCACAAAATGTCTGATATTGAGCGAGCAAGAGTGATTTTTCGATGGATTGCATCAAAAAATATGCAGAAAATTATGTTTGAAAATGTTCCTCCCAATTCCCCAGAAGAGGTGCTTTTATCATTTAAGGATAATAAAACAAGTTTTGCGAGAATATACGAAATAATGTGCACGTAAGTTTTTTTCGCCATGCTAAATGTGCTCTGGATTTTATTAGCTAGGAATCTAGCTTCCCTGTCTTATTTTCATGGTTTCAATTGTGTTTTATCCATTTAGATATGCTGGACTTCATTGCGTTTCTATCAGTGGCTACGCCAAAGGAGTGGATTACTTTCCAGGTGACCGCTTTCAAGGTCTCCCAGCAAATCATTCCTGGAATGCTGTTTATCTGAAGAACTCGTGGCAACTTGTTGATGCCCATTGGGCGACGCGTTACCTTAGCTCAGGAGTAAATATGCAGGATAACGTTGTCTACGAATATGACGACTTTTACTTCCTTATGGAGCCACAGCAGGTTTGCTCCATTTTTCTGCTTTGCTTGCACCATAAAGACATTTTGAGTAATAACTTTTGAAGACATGCAAGTGAAATTGTCCCTATTCAATTTCTTTAATAGATTATTATACCGTACAAATAAGACTACGTTTTTTTCTACCTTATGAACCTGTTTTATGTAAAAATCGAAAATCTTTGATTGTTTGGAAGTAATGTATATTCCTTCAGTACTTCATCTGCATTTGCTTTGAAGTATGTGGTTTTATAATGTTTTTTTTTGCTGTGGTATTTTTAAAATAAGCTTAATTACCTTGAGACCAAGTTTAAGATAACAATCGAGTGCTTCAATTGCACTAATCTTATCGGGTTCAAAGTCTCACATATTTCTATTGTCATTTGGTTTGCGTCATTGCATTCTACTTGAATTCTAAAATTTCAAAAATATTTATTTCTTAGGCTTACCGGATGTAAAATGTCATCACGGACGTAAAATACTCAGGATATCGTTTAACATTTCTTTATAACTCTGCGCTCTCCCTGACTGCCCTTTTAGCACGATGAGTGTAAAATTACGAGGCGACAATTTAGGTAATTTTTTATTCATGGACAATTTACGGGATTTAAGTAACGGCAATTTTCTAATTTAAAAAGTTATTGTTCTCTTGAATTTCTCGTTGATCAACTTCCTGAATATGGAAGAATAGGATTATCGTGATTTGCGATTTGCTTCTTTGTACTTCTAGCAGGAGGTAAAAAACCGTCATTATCAAATGGTTTTGGAACGAGCTAATTTTGAAATTGGGTGTTATCTTCAACATTGATAAACCAGGATCAGTCGGTTGATGTACGAGGGATTGGTGTTTAGTAAACTGTTTAAATCCCCAATAGGCTGTTTACAGCCACTTTCCCGAGGACTGCCGCTGGCAGCTACTCTCCAAGCAACTCACCTTGGCCCAATTCGAGAGCCTTCCATTGACCAAGTCTCAGTTCTTCAAGTGTGCCATGGATTTTCGCGAGGAACACCACGGTGTGATTCAAGTTGTTGATGGATGCATCCGCGTGAGTCTAGGATTCTGGCGGCCGGGTGCCTTCACTTACAAGTTGCAGCACCTTATTGGCAGCGCTCGTGCTTCCCAACCCGACCTCGTGCCCGTCCGTGCAGCTGACTTGACTGATGTCTTTTATACGTCTGGAAGGGAGAAGCTGCTGCTGAAGGACTTTGTGCTGCAGGAGGCTATCCAAGATGCCCTCAACTTCTTTATTCGACTACCCTCGAGGGGAGCATACTTTTTAACAATATATGCTCAGGTGTGTCTCGTATTTCCTTAGTCTAGCTTGTCTCAAAATGTGGCTGGGTTCACATAGCCTATCTCTATTCAAATGGAAATGGGATCACTTGGTGCTATCCAGCAACTTACTTTTTGACTGGTTTAATTATGCTTTGTACTTACCTTATTAGCAATGTTATGTAATTCTGACGAACTCTGCTTACTCCTGCACAAATTTGTTTTGGCCTTTTGGTACGCAGCATCTTTCTGCTTCAGTAAAATCGTTAGTAAATCTTAGCGACTGTTTTCTGACTTTCCAATCTCATTTTCATCTCAGGGTTTAGCATCCTGTTTTGGATTTCAAGTTTAATGCCGTTGGTTTGTGGTGCCTGCTGTCTCCCAGGCTAAGTCCATGTCCGTCTCACATCACTTAGACTTATTGATGCTCGATGACCAAATTTACCTCACCCTTTTTGTAGACGGTATTCTTCTCACAAGCTTAAAGTGAATTTGACATTGCGTTTATTCTCCAAATATCCATGTTCTCAAACCTCATCTGTGCTTGCCTCATAAGCTTATATCCAAACTTAGTTCAACTTTTTCAAGCTTTCCAAATCCGTATTTTCCAACTACGTCTGGTTTGTCGACTCACTGAGTTCACTTACCCGATTTGATATGCAATTAGCTTACGATGTATGACTCCTGACCCTGCTTGATTAAACTTCCCCCTTATTCTCTCTCCTTTCTTTACACTACTTCACTCAATTTAAAGTCACCATGTTGTAGCTCAGACTTGTTCAGTGATTTCACCAAACTCTTGTCCGACCTGGGCTTAGCTTGTGGTGTTTGCGTCAAGCAAAGTCCTCTACTCAACTTGAAATGCAATTAGTACCTGACACCTGCTTTTCCATAACGTATGTCTTGCGTTTCTTTTATCTGCTAACCACCAACTTGTGACCAGGCTGGCCCTACCCTTTTAACACGAAGCGTCTCTGCGCTCGGTTTGAAATGTAACTGAGTTCCAAATTTTAATTCCTGGTTCCTATCATTCCTCTTTACTGTGTCGTTCTGGTTTACCCAACTTAAAGCCGTAAATCCTACTGTTCCAACTCCTCATTGAAATCTACCTTTCATTCTTCCAGGACTAAATACTTTGACTAGCCCCGTGGTGTTCACCATCTTCACGCCTAACGTTGTCTAAGTTCCATAACTTCGTTCTATTTTCAACTGTGTAGCAACATGTGCCCAAGCATATCTTCCTCCATTTGGCACTAAACTTCTCCACATATTTTATGAAAATTTAATTCCTCTTTTTGTTTCGTTGTGTTAAAAACCCTGCCAATTGCTCTACTCAAACTGATTTGCTGTTAATTTGTGATTCTCACTATCTCAGAGCCTGTGCTCAGGTTCGTCTCACATTCCCCAGGCCCACAGCATTCTCAACTCCACCACGATATGCTCTCCGGCTTGACTTATGCTCGCAGCGCAACGAGTCCCCAAACTCACCTTGAAATGGAGTCAACAAGACGTCACCGTGGCTTCCGGTTGCACAATTCTTTGCCCCTTCGGAACTCACGAGTTTTGACCTCTTGAATTGACCACGATCTGTTCCTCAGTAGAAGGTAGAAATAATGAATCTTTTATGAGCTTTGGATATTTCAGCAGTAATCCAGCAACCAAAAATACCTTCCGCATCTTTTGAAATCACATTTTTCTGCGATTTCGGTGGGATGAAATTTGCAGTGTCATGCGGATCTTGTGGAATACTTGGTCCCTCATCTGGGACCTGACATATGTGTCCGGAATGTATGCGATTGTGGGCTCGTTATTCAAAAGACTGGCGCTAGAAATAAGTTTGTTCTTTTTTACAATATTAAATGCGCTTCTTAACTGAAAATTATGAATACTTCTGTCCACATATCCGTTTGATTTTAGCCATCTTGGAAGATCAATTTCCGTCGTCTTATCATAATGACCTCAAAGTTGAAGTTTCTTATTCTATTTTCCCCCTATATTTAGCTCAAATAAGTTTTGTCGTAATATAATAGTAAAAAAAGGAGAAATATTTTGCAATTGAAACGGAAACACTCAAGTGAGTAACCCTTGCAGCTTTCGCGACCTCGCGAAAACGAGGATGGTGGTTACTCATCTACTTCTAACCATCCAACCACCTCCTCCACAGATTTCTCTTTATTCGTCATATTGACTAATAAAATGCAAATTCTGCGTCAGAATGATTAATTTCACCAGATTCGTAGAGTTGGGTAAATCACAAGGTGAATTGGATTACCTTATAGTAAAAAATCTTCTTTTCACACAACATTCTCTTTTTTCGGGGAGACTAAACCCTCTTATTTAAACACGCACCAACGCGGGGGGTAGAGGTGCCTTCAAATTATCATTCAAATAGTAGAATGAAGCGTCCTTTCCCTCTCTATCCATCGCATTCAAATTGTGCCTGAGGAGTACAGCCGTCTCGTGCATGCACAATGGAGGCGCATGCAACACCCGTGGGGTAATTGAATTACCCCCTCCCGCCAACTGCACTCCGTCTCCTCTGTCGGTGTCGATGCCGTTCTCCATCCGACGGTGCGATCCCCTTCGTCGTAATTTTGTGAATCTCCTCATTCTCGTGCTTGCTCTGTTTATTAACACTCCTGGGCGTGTCTTTTGGGGTAATTCAGTGCCTTTAGGTGTGGTTTCTCTCCCTCCCCTCCGATCTCCATGATTATACATGGTTCTGTTTCTATGCTCCTCAAGGAGGTTGAAGACTCAATGGAGCTTCTTTTTGAAGAAGGTATTTTACAGAACGCGGCAGCTAAAGTTAAGCCTTAAGATAATTCACGGGTGTTTTTCGGTGGGAAATTGGCAGTCCAAGGCCTTATTTAGGCGTGAACTTCCATTTTCATGTGAGTAATGCATGATGATTTCGTCACTGGTGTCGGCGACGGGCGTGTGAAGTAATGTATCCATGCCATGCTCTTGCTCCCTCCACTCTACATCTTTTCTCACCCTCATGAAAAAAAGAGGTGATTAGAGGCTGTTTTCAGCTTAAGGGTGATTGAACTTTTTGGTTTTCAGCAGTGAGTAAATTGATAAAACAAAACCTACTGACAATTGGTGTCACGGTGAAACCATGCAGTACCCTGGCTGAGACTCTGGCAGTAATTGGCGGAGCCATTTGAAGAAGTTGTTTGAAGGCTATCATGGCGTGGTTTGCATTTCCTAAACTAAGCGGCATAATTATTTACCATTTGACCCTATCAATCTGCTGAGCTACTTTTCATGTTTGTCTTCGTTTTGTAGCTATGCGGTATCTTTTCCCACATTTTTGATGGACAGCAAATGGCACTAGATTGGAATCGTTCTGTGCACGGACAGCGAGTGACATTTTAGCATCACCTTTACAACCTCCATTTCATGTTATCAATCAAGCACAAGGGAAGTGTATTTCCACCCAGATCCCCTATATTCTAAGCCCATGGCAGTGACAAAACTCCATTCAAATTTTTGGACACGGATTTGTGTGAGGCAACACCTCAGGAGAGTCAATGAACTACCAGGAGGACAGTTAAACCACGCAGCTATTCATGCGGCGGAGTGGCCTTTAGCTACAGGTGTACGAGTTTGCCATCTTGACGGGAGGTAAATTTTGGGGCCGTTCAGGGTAATCACTGAGTCATTCCAAAAGCTGGCCTGCATATGCCATGTTTTTAAAACAGATTTACGGAAGTCTCGCTGGACTAAGCCTTTTCAAAGCCTTTTCAAATTACATTACGCCCAATTCCCGTTTTGGCATGGTTATTTCTTTTTATTGAAAACAAATCTTGCATTTATTATTGCAGCCTTGTGCAGTGGGAGGGAAGAGGTTTCAATTTGTTTTTCAAATTTGGTGACTCACGACGATTTCTCCTTTTGTAGGACTTAAGCAATCCAGTGATGGCAAAAAACGGCACTTTTCGAGCCGCGTGCGAGTACAAGTTGGTCTTTTCTGAGGGCGAGGCGTGTTGCGAGCCCTATCCCGCCTGTGATGACATGAACTGGGGTCCCTCATGGCTTCACACCCGTCACTACGGTCTGGAGTTGGCGCACCCTTCAGGGGTGATCAGTCTGCCCCCGGGTCGACTCACGCCCTCCGGCGAGCACGTGGAGCCCGGACGACTGGAACTGCGGTGTACGCGACTCCGACCTGAAGTTCAGCTCTTCTCTAAACTCAAATGCAATCACCTACCCGACGAGAGCCTGGGGCAGTTCCATTGCATCCACCTCACCGAGAATGAGGCCATCTTCGAGCTCAATCTGCCTGAGCCTGGTACGTTGGCTTGTGTCCTGCCGTCGGTTGGAGACAAGAATTAGTGTTTGTACTAATGACAGAAGCTGTTGATTAATGGGTAGCATCCTTGTCCCACGTTTTGCGTTAATCAGCGAATTTGATAGCAGATCCTCGAATCTCTGCTTAACGGTGCCGTCTGGTAGATTTAGGGAAGAGGGCAGACAGTAGCTTCTTGCTTCAGTCTTCAAATTTACTATGGACGGTTAACTATTAATCCCTGAACTTGATTCACATTCCACTGTCATTTTGGGAGTTTGTCATTGTTCTGCTTTGACAATTGCAAGTCTTCGGTAGAATTATCATCAACCTCGAGACTCGCGAAGATAGTACTAGGCCTGATTTCATTAATGGGGGAAGGTGGAATTTCTAAATATTACGTCCTCTGCTAGGTCGCATGCATCTGGGGAGAACTGATTTGAGCAGAAATACTAAGAGTTTGAAGATGTCCCACAGTGAGCATATTTCATGTATCAATAACCCTTTTCGGAGCATTCATCCAAAGTGACGTAGAATGCATCGTGTCCTCAGATCACGATTGTAAATTACCGCGGTTTTGGCAATGCCAAAGGCATTTACTCGAGGTCAAATTCAGCCCCGTTCTATTAGTGTCCCTCAAGTTGAACTCTTCGCCCACCATTCAACTATTCATAGGTGATGTTTCCCTTATGTGAAGATTGAAGAGGATTTAAAACTGAACCGGAAATCGGGGCTGTTGACCTCTGAATGTGGGTTTGCCAATACTACTACCAACATGTCACTCTGATAACGTAAGTGTGGGAGGAGTTTTGTAACAGACCTACAGAAGGCATTGCAGATTACTAACTTAAGCGGCATGTTTTGGTATCCCCTCCTGTTTATCTAAATGTTGCATCTACAATACTTTCTACTTATTACAAATGAAAACACTATTGCTGCGGCTTACCTCTACAATGGTAAGGCGTCATTGATCCCCTTCCACCCAAGCATCCCACTCGCCGTAGTGTCAGCTAAATCTTTCACTTTCAAAAAGGAAATGTCTTATTTTAGCCCAGGGATTATTTGAACCATCCACCATGACTTGTTTGTTTAGCGGGGCCACATACATTGTAAAATAAGATCAATTCTATCCGCTTGCGAAGTTATTCCTATGTGACATCTCGAACGTGAATTACATCTACCGTGTACTTTATTCGATTCTCCTCTCAGTACACCACTTTGGTGTGTCTGCGAAGAGTAAGCCTACCAGACTGCTCCATGTGATCTTACATCAACCTCAGCATCATTATCATACCTGTCACACTGGCAGCGTGGCGTGCTTCCCGCATATGCGGCGACTCCGGGCTCACCTCTTCTCTCGTAAACGCAGTCGCGAGGGTAAACGCGACAGCAATCAGTAATCTATTCACCAACTGTTGCAGGAACTTACGGACCTGACAGCAGTTTTTTATTTGTCAGGCACTTTGCCCCATTTAGTTTTAAGCGTGAGTGTATGTGTGTGGGTGCGTGGACGAGTATAACAGCACGTGGGCGTGTCAACTGGTGTCACTATCGATCACTCCGTGCGTTTCTGGATGGGTGGGTTGGTGTGTGGACCAGAGACCGGACATTCGGCTGCCTGAATTGGCAAGCGATTGCAGCATCACCTTATGTGGTGACGTCATCGTCCTGTCTGATTGACTGACCGATGGGCCTTCTACTGAGTAAGCCCTTCACTTGGCCCTCTCCTTTGTTACGCACTGTCCGAGGCTCGCTTTCCAGCTCACGAGAGCTTTCTGCTTTGAATGGCAGAGATTTTTCATCAAGTTGTGGGAGAATATTATTTATCACGGCGACTGGGCTTCAGGGTAAGGAAATTCGTCACTGCAATCTTAGTATCAACTAAATTCAGGCGGTCCTGTCATTAAATCCAACCATTGTATTTATTGCTTAGGTTTGCGTGGTGCAAATACCACGACATTGCTTGGGATAAGAATGTCTCGAGGGAATTATTGCAGAGGTACTATCCACTAGTCTGGTTTGCTTTGCAAGACCTGATGCGAATGTGGTTAGAGCACCACAACAATACGAACAAGAGACTTCAAGAGGCATCGATCCGATGTCTAGGCACCTTATGTGCCGCAGCAGAATGATGGAGGTGAAGTAACCTCGTGTCTTGCGGTTCACTTTAAGCGCTCCTTTGTTTGATGATAAAGCCTATCGCAATAATATAATGTGGAAAATTTTCCGACTTTGGGCGATTTTCTTGAACCCCAGCCGTTAGTACATTTTTCATCAGTCCATCATCTCGGTGTGACAACTCTGGGACTAAATATTTCTTAGAATGCACCACTTTCTTCCTTTCTAGTCCACACTGTCAAAAGTAAATAGTACAAATGCATTTTATCTACAAGCGCTGCAATACTTTGCTAAGGGCTGCTTTGGGCTAATGAGTGGAGGTCAAATTCCTAACTGGTGGTGGCTTATCAGGTCATCAGGGGGGGAGGGCAAATGCGAGCTGAGCTGGAAGGTCGCACGACTGCCTCGGAGGAGTGTAGTTCCAACACTTTGACTTGACTATCCCTGGGACAAGTATTTTAAAGGTCAATAATTTTTCCTTTTTTTCCGTTACGGAAGATACGAAAAAAAAGTTTGGTGCGAATACATAAACAGGTTAGATTTGGTCTCCTTCCAATGCAAATCGTGTTGCTGATTTTTTACGCAGATCATTTACTGTCTTCCGTATGCAGAAATGGCGCTCGACTCCAGGTTGGATGGTGGCACCTTCTTTAGCCCGCACCTAAGCTCCATTGTTATAGGTTTGAATGAAAGTATATTAATTTTACTTACCGCAGATAAAAACTTTTCGAAACAAGCTAGTTTGGCGAGTAATATTCCTCCTCACTTGCAAAGGAAGGCGGTCAAAGTACGGTTAGGAGTGAAGCATCAGGCGCATCGCTATCATCGGTTGGGCCTTGTTTATCAGATGGTCAAATTGTTGGCCACTCCCCGTCTTGAAGGTCATGAAATATGGTTCAGTGAGGTTCATTTTTTACTCATTGGCCTTCAGTGTTCCTTTTCCAACCATCAAAGGGTGAAACATCTGTGGGAATGTACTTTCACGTGCTATTATTCAAGATGTCACGTATCTCAGCGGAAACTGTGTGAACGCTCTTTATAGTTGTGTAAGGTGCCTTTCTTCATCAAAATTTTGTTTGACCGATCCAATCTTTAATAATAACACTTACGTGAACGAAGCCATTCATAAACCCGAGGCAATTTTGACCAGTATAGTTTGATTTTCTTTGGTGAAATTTATTCCACTTTAGGATTAAAAGTCCACATCGTGGATTTTCCACCTCATCCGAAACAGTGATTTATGAATAGTCGATAAAATGAGGTATAATTGTCGAGTGATACGTCCGATTTTTTCAATAAAGAACTCGGCTAATATTTTGATCTACTTTTCCGTTTCCCCACTTCAAGCCTGCCTTGAGTAATATGCTACTGATCCATTTAAGTAGGTGGGCGTCGCGTCTACCTGTCATGGACCCTCACGTGCCTCAGTTCCATCAGCAAAAACCAATGGCTCTTTAGAATATTGCCCTCGATGTTATAATTTTGACTCCGCTGCGATGAAAAGAAGGCACGTAACATACTCTATGTGTTTCACTGCACTCTACAGACAGTTTTTCTGAAACCTCCCTCGCATTTCCTCAAAAAAAAGCAAAACAAACGTTAAATCGAAAGGAGAAAAAGGCCCTCACGTAAGAATAAGTGTTCATTGTCAAGGTGACTTAGAAAACAAATTGCAGTACTCTTAAGTTGAACATGCATTACTAATGTTACGTATGTGCAACACCTCAGTTTTCTGAGACACCCATGGCCAGTGACGCTGCCTTCACACGGTTTGTGTTTCATACACCCCTTGCCTTTTGCTCTCAAATGTGGAAAAAGTTCGAGTTGTGCACACTGCATACTCAGTAAGGGTTGCAATTCATGCCTGACTAATTGTTCTCCGAGGAAATATTGTCATTACCAAGTCTTTTTCTCTGCCTTATTCATAGGCGAATACGGCCTCGACATCTACGCCAACGAGCCAGAAGATGGTCGAGCCTACACCCACGTGTGTCAGTACCTCGTACACTACGAGGCACCACCTGACTGGACAGGGGAAGGAACGTCGGAGGCCGTGGGGTCAGCGAGTGCGTCTCCTACCCGAGTTGTCAGCACAGCTGAGGTGAATTTGCGTTCCATGCCCCGGCATTCGCTGCAGCGAGAGTCACTCATCCGTCTGCGTCAGATGCCCGGTTATGGCGCTGAGGCGCCGTCCATTGGACAACTGCCTCAGCCGTACCTTGAGCCCCAAATCGCCTCCACTCAGGTTAGTTGGGAACTTGGGCTTCCTTGGCATCACAGCCTGATCTAGTCATCACTAAATGGCTTCAGCCGACTTCTGAGAAGCCGAGTTCCAGTTAATTACTTACTCTAGACGTTAGAAAGTTGAGTTCAACTACTTGGCTTTGCTTTGCATCATTTCACACTCAAACATCCAGTACGGATTTGGTTAGTTGGTTTTGTTTTGTATTTCTGTTTACCAACTTTTGCTCTGGTAACTCTGGTGTTTTCCAGAAAATTAGACACACCTCGATGTCTCACCTCAGAATACACCACTTCTGAACAGTCACCACTTAATGTTGGCATTAGCATATGTAGTATCCAACGTGAATGCGTAATTGGTCTCTCCTCGCTTCACTATCTTTTCAATCCACCGTAAAGTGCTGTAAGGTGAATCTCTAGCTTCAGTTCATTTTAGAAACTAGGTAAACGTGAGTTCTCACTAGTTGTAGTTTCGAAGACTTAAGATACTGCTTCCGGAGATTGGAAGGTGGAGGAAAAATCCTGTTCGTGTTTCTCTTCGTTTCATTCCATCGTGTGTGTAACCCATCTGAAACGGTGTTTTCTTCTCTATTTTATGCGAATTGATAAAATTTAAATGCGAATCTCCAAGTGAGGCTTGTTGGACACTTTCTTAAAATAGGGTGCTCTTAGTACCTGCAGCCCAAACTCGCAACGCCCAAATCACTGGGGTGGGGGTCTATCAGCAATGCATGAAGGTCGCATATGGTAAGGAGTCGAAGAATATTCTCGATAGCCGCTTACTTCCCCATTTTTCCTCCCCACTTGATTGGCTGATTGCTCTGCTTAGGCATCACATGTCAAAAGAACTTTGGCATGTCAAAGGTGTCAGCATCTGCAACCAAAAATGGGACTTTCCTTCGATGGTTTGTACGTATTTTCCAAAGCTGCGGTATAGTCTAGTCCCTTCTTAATGGCACATCCACCGATCGTCGCTTTTCCCATGCACAAATCCTCACGTTGTTTAGACGAACTCCAGCACACCAAAATCCGGCTGCTCTACCTCTTAATGCCGTGGTCAGCTTCGAAAATACATGCGCATAATTCACAAAGGTGAATTATTCTAACCTGTACGTGCTTCCTTGACCGTGTGTTCTTTTTTGAGGCAAGTCGCCTGAGCATAGAATATCCGACCTTTTCGACTTTACCTTCGCGCGTTCCGGCAAGTTAGCAGTGCTGTTGGCTACGGCTTCGTGAACTGTTCACCGTCACAAACGTGCACAAACCTTCACTTAAGTGGATAAAACACAAGCAAGAAAGCGGAATAACTTTCATTGCTGCATTGGACATACGTGGCCCTTCTACGAAGGGTATTCCAGTCAAATTGGTACTCCTGAGTTGGCAGGCGAAACGGTAAATTCCAAGGAGTAAAAAAGGAGTTCATTTTTCGAAGTAGTTTAGTATTCAGACAGCTAAGATGTAAGGACCTGTCTATACAGTTGAATTATTCTAGGCCATTCTACTTGACTTGATCGTCAGTGCGAAGACACCGACCTCTGAGGGACCCTTTTGCAGCCCAAAACAGGTAGGAATCACTCAGGGCGAGGTCTGGACTGTCGAGGAGTAGGGTATTATCCTCCAGCCGAATTGTTGTACTGAACAGCTCAGGGTCGCGTGTAACCCCTCCAAAATGGAACCCCCTCAGCGCCAAACGACTTTTCAATCGACAGATGCGAGCGACAAGTACAGGCACTGGTGATAGCGGTGCTATTGAACAGAAAATTCACTTAAAAGCATCGCATCTTTTCTAGAGAACACTTGCCGTCACCCTACCTGCAGAGAGACTTGTTCCGGCGCCTTTTTTGGTGCTATCACTACTTTGGTGTTCACTCGTTGCAGGTTCCTGGTACCACACACACATTCGCATTAAGACATAAATCATAAGATACGCATTTCAAGGGGAAAAAACTGCGAGGAGAGTATCTAGTTAGTCAGAAGGCTTCGTACATTATAAATGATACTTGATTCCGGTTATTAGGCTCTTTCGAATAAATAATTGTGCACGCTTTTGTGTAGTGGCTCAAAACTCCTCTGAAGATGAAAGAAGGCATGGTACTCGCGTGGAATATATATAGTCGACCTACACAAGGGATTGGGGGCTAGTGGCCAGCCGCGCAGGCCACACAGCCTGGAGGAGGTACAATGGCAGAGTCCCTAGGTGGCCCGTTACCTAAACCCAGAGCTAAACAAACAGTTAAAGCATTACATAGCCCCTCTTCCCCTTTAAGCGTCATCCTTGGTGCTCCCTTTGGTCCACCTCCAGTGTCAGCTATCGTAATGTAATCTGTGCTGTAAGAAAAATGCCCACAAGCCAACCGTGCCGTCGTTGAATTTCCATCCAACTGAGGCGACACTTGACCTCAGCATTAACTCTACTAAATCTGAAGTTTCGTCCTGAATGGGGACTGTATTGAAGGAAGGGGAATGCGCTGACCATTACACATGCCCACAGCTAGTCGCATGAAAAGTGGCCTCGCAGTAGCCATTTAATAAGTGGCGCGATTTGACTTATTCAAACTTCAGCGCCCCCCATTCATGCCTATCTGGGTTCATTCCACCCAGTAGAGAAGTGGCGGAGGCATCGCGTATTCGCTTCATCAGTATCTTCATACAGGTTCCGTGAACAGCTCCGTAATGAATTTTCCAGATGGTTCACGGCTAGTGTCGCTTCAGATGTTAATAGCATTGCTGCAGACCACAGGATTGGGGTGATTGCCGAAGGTAGACGTCATTTGCATCCCTTCTGTTAGGGATTGGCGTAAGTTCTACTATCCAAAGCATACACCCTTTATCCGTCAGGCTAAGGTGCATCACTCAGCCGAGAAAATTAGAGCAGATGCTCCTTAGGATCGGGTTCGCTTTCCACTGTCACCAATGTTGCACCTCAAGAAATGTTACTGTAATGTTAAAGAAAGGCATGTGGTGTTGACTGGTGAGGTCGCTTTTTGCACGATGTGTTGAAACGAATAACGGCGCTCTGCACGGTTTACTTGGAGCTAAAAGTCCAAGTTGAACGGTGGTGCGTCGATGGTTTGATCAAATTACTGCGTATTTTTTCAGGCAGTTCCATTGTCGATCTTGGCTCCTTGCACTTTATGATGCGAAAGCCTGTGGAACATCACCTGACTGAGACGACAAATGTTGCCTTCTGCTAAATGCTAGAATAGTACCTGAAATTCTCCCAACATTGTTTTGCATTTCCTAACTTTAACCACCAGGATTAGAATGAATTGTCAACCGTAGCAAATGGAATCGCAACGAAAGTGGGTGTTTGTGAATAATTAGCAATTCGCTAATGAGATCTGTGTTTCGGTGTAAGATTTGGTCCTTCCCTCCATGAATTTTAAGTTAAACGCCTTACATTTGGTGGTGACTCGTTTAATTGTCATTCATTCCACGATCGAAAAGCATTCTACCCCAATCGGCAACTCGAAAGAACATTATGCATGGAATGTCCTCGGTGTAGGGAGTGAATGCTTTGAACACTTTATAATGGCTGTACTTGCTTTCCTGCTTACTATAGAGCTATAACATCGGAGTCACATGGGAAACCTGACTTCAGAACATGGTGGTTAATGATGACGATAAAAAAGCCCGGGGAATGTGTTAAAACCACTATGAGTAATTAATACAGTAGTATGAAGCGACTTCTTGAGGGATGAAATATTAAGCGCATCTCTTTTACGTTTAAAAGCGTTTTAATACGGGATGGAGCATGTATGTATTCCCTTTACCACCGCAGCAGCACATCAACAACGGGGAGAACAGCCGAACGCTAAGAATGTTTTCACCCCCTGCGTACAATGGCAATTCTGGTTACAGAGATCAGGTGGAATTCCGCTATGCGCCCTCGACTTGGTCGGATACGGAGAGCCTAGACAGGGGCATCGGTGCGATTCGCATTAAGGGGGTACGTTCGGCACCTAACTTCTCTCCACACGACCACGCTACTTAATTGTATTAAGTAGGTTAGGAGCAGGCTTGAGTGTTCACAGTAAGCGAAAAAAAATCTGTGGTCTAACTGCAGCAGTAAACGGAGGAGGGATATGGCGGTAAGTTTCACGTAGAGAGATTTTGTGAACCACGGTAACAGGTAGGGAGGACACCATTCACATTTGAATTATAATAAAAGGAATACACCATGCTACATTCAATGATGTGCTCAAAGCCAGTTGTCACCTTAAAAACGTCGAGGTCCTCAACATCTTACCCCTCAAATCGCCTTCAGCTTCAACCTCAAATGAGACTTGCATTGCACGGTTTACTTTAGACGCATATAATTGTTGCTGTGTTGTGCTCGCTAACGTCACAGCCCGTAGTCTTAGGAACTAGGATAAGGCGAGCTAGAGAGCCACATATTGAGCTGACGTAAGAAAAACTACGATTTTTACCCACTCTTGTATGATTGACGGGAAAGTACTTGATAGAAGGTTAAATGTTTGCATGAAAACAACTGTGGCGACCTTGAGCCTTCCCCTCTACCTGAATACTGAAATAACAAATCTTTTCCATTTCTCTGCTTGTTTTTATAGTTCTGAGTAGATTTCGCCATGAATAATTGCTTTTTATTTTATTTTAACGTTATCTGGACACTTTTTTGAGTCTTCTCTGTACTTATTTCTGTTACCCGAACGAAACGGAAGGGCTGGTCTGATTACCAAAGGAATCCTTCATATAGGTAGTCACGATAAGAATTGGGCTTAAACAAAGAATGGAGAGGCGACTTGTACATACTAACTGATGATCTTCTTCCATGCACTTTATTTCAATAAAACGAGAGCCTAATTCTCAGTTTAACTTTATTAGGACGACGAGGATGAAGTGTTTATGGCGATTGGGAAGGGGACAGAGAAGAGTGATGATGAGGCAAATGATAATTCAGTGGGAAGAATCTTGGGGCGGAGGGTAAATGTGACCGAGCAGATGAAACGCAGTCAACCCTACATGATGTCCCTGCTAGTTGGGAAATCGCCCACGCTGCGCTCGCCCCTTGGTAGTGTAGTTCAGGTAACACTTTCACCACAACAGCCATCAACTATGGCCCTAGCCTAATCGGCTCCACGCTCTCTGCAATGATTACACCGCACGCCTCTGCGCTATAGAGAGGGCGATTATCACTTGGTTAATCGGGTGGTCTTTTTTACTGCCTTTGTTTCAGACCTCCGCCACCAACGGACGGGAGTCTCCTAATTCGGACCGAGTGGACCGATACTCGCCCTTCGCTGCCGGTAACGCAATGTTTTTTATTACTTACGTTAGCCTTTACTTTGAAGTCACATCTATTGCAAGAGTACAAAAGGGTGGAGTTGCGTGTCATCGATGTGGAAGCTGACTCACTGCAGAATGAAAAGGCTCGCATAGTTGTTTTTACAGGTAGATCAAATAAACCTTAGCCCTCAAATAAAAGAAGGGCTGTGACGGTTTAAAAGTTAATAATGTGAAGGTGCTTAAGGGCTGATTTGCGTTGAAGGTGGTATTTTTTGCCTCCTAGTGCGTAATTTTGAAGCCAAATTTTGTTTAGAAGCAGTATTTTTTTGAGCACAAACTCTTAATTTATCTATATTGCCACAAATTGAGCACCAAAGGTTCTCCACGTGTCAATTACCACTTTATTCACACAAAATCACCCAATTTCGCTTGACCTTTTGCCTTCTAAATAAAGTTCCATCAATGGTTTATGCAAAAAAGTAAGCCAAAGGAGAGGCCCTGCCTAAACTGCCTCTTTATGAGTCTCTCCAACGTGGGTGCTTAGGTGTGCCTGAGTCTCCACTTCTTCACTTCTTTGATGTAAATCACACGAATTGAATACCACTTGGAGTCGCATGAACCGCAGGGTTGGAGTTCAATCTCTCTTATAATTGGCATGACATTTTGAGAGCGCAGTGTTCCGAGGCGTACTTTACCTTGTCTGAAGCTGCCTGGTTGTGAGTCTGTTCTGAGTAAAAGGTATTTACAAAAATTAAGGAATTAGGATGGTATAAAATTTGGTGGGGTACATAGCCACACTATAGATAAATTACTCGGCTGATTACGGCTGTTGTAGACTGGAAGGTGATCTGAAACTGCTGCCTGATTTTGGTCCAGAGAATTATCTGGGGCGAACTGAAACAACTGTTCACTCCATGTTC